ATTCAGTAGAGGAATGAGACAAGTAGCTAATGTCACAACCTAAACTAAATGAAGTAATTCAAAATGTGAACATAATAGTGCAGCAAAACGAACGCCATAGAACAAACTAAGCCTTGGAGGGGGGAAGGACTCCTAAGGTGGGTGAGCAATTACAGTATGGCAAAAGTTTGAATGTGTGAGATCACAGTGGTCATGAGGTAAGGCGAGAGAGCGCAGGCGAGAGCATTACATTGAGGAGTTTACAGGAGGGATTGAGGGGTTCAAGTAGTCCATGGGCCACGTCCTACATCGCGCAGCACGCGCTGCATCTTGCCAGCTGACTCTGTCTTCCAGCGACGGGCCACCTGTCGGGTACCCGGCGACGTTGGCTCAATGCGAAGTATGTGGTCGCGGCGGGCTCGTATGTTATTTGACAGCGGCGCCTGGGTTACTGTAGCCCATCGGTTCCGTGCTGATGTGAGATTCTTGTTGGATGTTTCATTGGTCACTTTGATGTGACCAGATATTACAGAGCAATACCATAACAGGTAATGGGTTAGTGTAGGTATGCAACCTACCCTGGGCACCTAAAGCTAAAACAAGACCAAAATTGAACAGCTAGGCAGAAACAAATAATTAGAATCCTTGATATTTATCATAAATACGAAGTAAGAAGAAATAAAGGATAAGAAGATAGAAAGGAAATGAGATGGAAAAATAGAAGAAGGAATAAAAAAGTAAACCAACACTTCGCTGCCGGTGCAGAGTGGGTGAATGCCAAAATCTGGGTATGCTTGATGAATTATCATTCAGGGAAGTGAATGCGGCATTCACTCAGACCAAGGACGACGACGAGGAAGCAGGATCGTTTAATTATGGTTAGACGACGATAGAAGAGGCAGTAACGGGTGCATTTAAAACAGCGTAAAACATGTCTATTTTGAAGATGGAAGTAAGCCTTAGGCGAGGAGGAGAGACCCCAAGATGCGTGAGCCATTTTCATTTTCCCTGGATCCAATGCCTCTCCTCTCCCTAGGCTCAGTCCCGCGAATGCCCCTGTACATATTGGGTTGTCCGGAAAGTTTCCGCCGATTTTGCCTCTCAAATTCAAAAGCGCATATCTCGGTTCAAACAAAGCGTCTTTGCTCGAAATAAAACTATTACAATCCCCATACCTTTGCCTACAAGAAATGAGTTTAACTGATCCGGATGTTGGAAGTGCTGGAGTTCTGTGAGCTAAGAACTCGGCGAAGGTCGTTTCACCACCATGTTGGGTTTCAATGCTCAATCTTTCTCAGTAGACCTTCCAGATGGTTAGAAAGTTGACAGTTGATAGGCAATAGGTCTATTGTGTAAAATGTTTGCAGCACAGTTTTGTAGCTCAGCTAGTTCAACTTGTGTACGGTTGGAAGTGCGAGATGGGGCTGCGCAACAGTGGGGAGAAGAGTCGGCGGCACCCAATTTTCGACTTCTTTGGGCATTTTACCCTCACCGCTATGTTTAGAAATCTTATGTCGGTTACGCCCAATTCAGAAGCAGCCTGTTCAACAGTTTCATGCAGATCTGGTTTGGTCAAAACCCTCAGCTGATCTTTATCAGTCTCCGATATCACTAATCTCCTTCGAAGCTTTCAACATCGCGAGAAAGACATTTTGAATTACGACTGCACAGCGTATTTTTGTGGACTTGAACCAAATGCTTAGTTGATATCGCAACTTGCTTCCGCACATTTTCGAGCAAGTTTGAGGGGTGTTCGGTAGCACAACTACCCGCAAGGCTAGAGGTGCGGGTTTGGTTACACATGAGTCAACTCTGATGGTTTTTGTCATCAAGTTTATCGTTTAGAAAGTTTCGCTCTGTTTTGTGTTGAATGACTAATCAGTGGGGTTCAGCATAGAACTATGTACTATGCAATGTTTATTTCTGACGTTATCGCAAATCTCACAAAGTCAATGGAATGCATTGCCGCTTGGAAACACAGTTTAGTCATCAGCTAGTCATCTGTGTCGTCTACTTGATAGCTCATGAGGCTTTCTCGATTAACGTGGATGGTGGATTACACCTACATCTTCCTAATTATTGTTTCAATTTCACTGCTCACTTCTTGCGAAGGCGAGTTCGAATTTTGTCTTCAGACTGATAGGTTCTGTCAATTTACTTGAGCTCTAGAGAATGAATATAAATCAGCGAAGGGTTTCTTATTTAAACTGAAACATGCGCCACATGCGTGGGACAGCGTGACTCGCATGTGAGCCACAAATCTGTGATTGAATTTTTCGCCCATGACGACTCAAAAGATCGAGACTCAACATACTCGTATGAGAGGTGACCCAGAATACAGCATGCTTTAAGTGTGTAAACGTTTTTCATAACTTGCTATTTTTCCAATCCATTCTCTGAGTTCTCGATTAAAGAGAAGTCAAGAAGTCAAGAGAAAGGGCGGAAGTGGTGTAGTGGCAAGTGGCACGCTTACCACGCGAGCGGTCCGGGGATCAAATCCTGGGTCGTGAGTCGCCCGGGCCAACCAAGCCTTCCATCCCTCCGGGGTCGGTTAATTGGTACCAGACTTGTCTGGGAGGATAAAAACACTGACTTGTACATCGGCTGGCCCCCGCAAGTCATTGTATAGGCCACATCGCATTCAAACGCCACTACGAATGTACAAATGGAAGTAGAATGCATCCCAAAAAGGGATTGATCAACGGCAAATGCTTTATCCTTTATCTTTTATCTCCGACTTCTTTTTATTGCGAATGCGATCGCATGGAACTAGTGTAGTTTAGTATGATTTGATTTCTAATTAAGCACAGTGATTCAGAATTCAAGCAAATTTTTTCTTTTTATTGGTGAAATGAAGTTCTTTAGGGGCGTTCTATACTGTTCCCGCACCCTAATCACGAGTGTTACAGCTTGCTACTGTGACACCACAGACGTTGTGGTCGATGAGGAACCTGTGTACATAACATCTCCGCGATTCCCAAACTCATACTGTCCCAATTTCCGGTGCAAAAGGCAATTTCGCCATAGCGATACCTCACGTGAAGACGTCGGCTATTATTTTCTGGTTACAGTACATTTTCTTAGCACAGAACCCAACATAGACTACATTGAATTCCTCTCAGAAGGAACCCCTTTATACAGGTAGGAATTATAGTTTTTCTGGTCTGGTATAGGAGAAAAGAGGCCACATTTAGGTTCAACGGAACTCATGAAGACGTGCGATTTGTTGTCCCGAATGACGTCATGGAAACAGTGTTTGTCACCGACGATTCGGTGGAAGCTCATGGATACAACATGACTGTTAAGTCGATCCGTGTTCCCATAGGTGATTGATTGGTTTATTGCTAAGTTCTTTACAACCTCCCGCAACGAGGCGGAGAAAACATCAAAAATGGGCTTGTCTTTTTGTATATACATTATAGT